AAAAAATGATATTTTTTGTGTGATTTGAGCGTAAGAGAAAGATACATAGGAATGAGAGGGAGATTTGTTTGATTTAAGGAAAAAATTTGAAAGAATTAAATTTTGGAATATCAATTTTGGAAACTATAAATTTTGAGCAGCAAAATTTTTTCAAAAGAGTTAATGTAGTACGTCGGATTAAAACGATCTGAGACGTCAATAGCTTGAGACAGTTTGAGATAATGCAGTCTATTGGATGATGACTTTTTTAGTTAGGAAACGTTCTGAACCGCTCTTTGTCTCCAAAATTCAATATCATTCCACTTTATTATATAGATTTTAATTTATACCCTCAATCTTATAAATTGGTAACATTGTAAACTTAACCCAAACTACCGTTCAATTTTTTATCATAAATCGAAGTATGTGAGTTACAAGTGTTTCGAGCATGGACTTATGTGTTAATTCACAGACTTTTGGCGTCACTTATGAGTTGTACATGATAGAGTTAAATTCTATCTAGTTAATGAAACCCTGTTTTCAATACACAAAGTGGTACCAAATTAATTGGAAACAAAGTTTCATAATAATGGATATACTTCATCCTCATGTCCAAAACACTTGTATCTCATTTGCTTTAGTTTATGATAAAAAAATGAACGGCAATCTGGGTCAGATTCACATTACTATAAATTCATAACATTGAATATACAAATTAAAATTTTAATGGTAGAGAGTGTAAATTGAGAATCAAAATATCTTTTAGGGTATAAAGTGAGATTAGCCTCACTTCCTTTAATGACACTAAAACCCACCAATCTTGTACCTATGATAAATAACATTCCTCCACATAATTAAATAAATATCATAACACCCCCATTATAAATACAAGCCCAACATCTTACCCCTCTCATTTTGTGATAAATGATCTATTATTAAGTGAAATTAACTAATAGTATAATAGAAATGATCTCAATCTAACAAATTTATAATGTTACGGTAAACTTCCTTCTCCTTGAGAAAAATAATCCTTTGAAAATAATACTCTACATTATATTTTTCACAACCACCAATACAAAATATAGCAAAAACGAGCTAGACAATTTTGTAAAAAACTGTGCGAACCCACGAGGACTTGCCAACTTTTTTGCTACTTGGCATTTTCTATTTCAATAACTATGCATTAAAAAAATTCAATAACTATCAACTAAGTGCAAATCAATATGCATCATAAAAACTGATTCAAATATCCTCGTCCATCTATTTGTAAAATACAATTTAATTTTATTTTTCGCACCAATTAACTGAAAAATGATAGAACTATGTCTAGAGACCATATAGAAAACATTGCCTTTGAGGCACCAATACATCTAGGACACACCTGAAATTGAAATCTATGACACTATTTGAGTTACTTGGATCAATCAGATATTTATTTTTGACGAAGATAAATTAAAATCGCAATAGAGTTCTCAAATCCGATCTAAATCTAATCTATTACATTTCCTAAACAAAGACCTTGTGCTCTCTTGCTGCGGGCAAATCTGTAGAAAAGGTAATGGATGTGGACGTTTGAGGTTGAGATAGGAAGTTGGTTGAGTGTGCATGGTGCAATGCAACCAGGACCAAAAAACATCATGTTGTGGGTCTAAAAACGTAGACATTTGAGAGTTTGGCTGGAAAATTAACTATCAATGGCTGGACGGATTGTCAAATAAGTCCAACCAGATCTATCGTCACAGTCCTGCTGCTTCTTGTCCTGCATGAAGTTCCATACTTTCGAGCAGTATAGAATATACATTAAATTTTGGGTGCAACCAAAATGTGGACATTTCATTTACTTTTTTTGAATTTTTTCAACGGTTAATAATGTCCGAGCTAGTATATATATACCTCAATTAATTCTCTTATCAGTTCAGTCAAAAGCAAGCTATCCATCTTAAAATTAAGGTCATTTGATCTTACAGTTCGTCTTTGTCTTTTATAAATTTTTTTTTTTGGCCATCGATTTTGGCATCTTGTTTTTGACATCGTTTGATAACATTTTTAAATTAGTATTTGATTTGCATTTTACCGTTCTAATTTTCTTTTTTTGATTTTAATTGCACGTGTAGCAGCATGCATATGCATATATAGTCATGTTAATACGAAGGATATCGGGTTGGGTCGGGCCAACGAGTATTGTGAAGAAGTCGGCCGTAATTTGTCTATTAATAAATGTTTTTTAAAATAATATTATTTAAATCAATTTAAGAGATTAACCTTGGATCTCATTAGAATTCATAAACCCCATTATTAAAATTAACCTTTAATTATTTTCAAATTTTAGTGGTGGGTCCCTGATGACCTGACAAACGGATATAACCGTTAGGGGGCAATCTCGCAATTGAATGCCTACACAAAGGGCAAAACTCAACTTGCGCCGAAATCTCAGTGTCCTGTCTCGGCAGGTTTTCGCCGCCCGAAACACTGTCCAGATGAAGTTGACAAACAAATTCCTTTCTTTATACATAACGACAATCCTATCCCCGTTCTCCAACCCTCTCAATTTTCAAATCCTCATACTCGCCATTTTTATCAAACTTCAGGGGCAAATTCGTCCTAAAAGTTCGTCAACGCCACCCCCTCATTTGGACCCCCATTGTTTCAAATCTTGGATCCTTCTTTACCCTCGCTGACTCCGCTATAAACCCTTCTCTCTCTCTCTCTGTGGCACACAAAGTCAGTCTCCATCTCTGTCTCAGTCTCTGAATATACATTTCTAAGTTCTTGTTGCATTTCATGCTAATGTGCGTCTTTGTACGCATTGCGAGAGTTTGGGTTTGAGCTCTCAGCTATTGAAGTTCCACAAGCCAAAACAGTGATTTTGGGGCTTGGAAGTGTTCAAAGTGTACGAAAGGGCACTGTGTAGAGTGAGGGAATGCGATAGAGATGGACGAAGAAATGGAGGATATGATTGAGTATACATACACAGCAGTTCAAATTGATCTCGATTACGAGTTCGATGCTGCTCGGCATTTCGATTTCAGCCGTGAAGAGTCGCTACCTGAAGCTCGTGGAGCTGAGCTCTGGTTCCAAGCCGCCCCAAGTTATCCACCTTCTCGTAAGTGTTTTCGAGAATGAACGTTAACGTTTCTTCACTCTTATACACGTAATTGGTTTCGAGTTGTGATTTTCATGATTTTTTGGACTCGGCATAGTCGTCTTCTATGAGCGAGATTGAGCTAATTTTAGCTTATTTTTTAAGCTTAACGACTCTTATGCTTCTCATTTGTATCTTATAGGCTTGATTTTTTTGTAGTTTGGTGTAAGTTGTGGTGCGTTTTNAATAATCCTTTGAAAATAATACTCTACATTATATTTTTCACAACCACCAATACAAAATATAGCAAAAACGAGCTAGACAATTTTGTAAAAAACTGTGCGAACCCACGAGGACTTGCCAACTTTTTTGCTACTTGGCATTTTCTATTTCAATAACTATGCATTAAAAAAATTCAATAACTATCAACTAAGTGCAAATCAATATGCATCATAAAAACTGATTCAAATATCCTCGTCCATCTATTTGTAAAATACAATTTAATTTTATTTTTCGCACCAATTAACTGAAAAATGATAGAACTATGTCTAGAGACCATATAGAAAACATTGCCTTTGAGGCACCAATACATCTAGGACACACCTGAAATTGAAATCTATGACACTATTTGAGTTACTTGGATCAATCAGATATTTATTTTTGACGAAGATAAATTAAAATCGCAATAGAGTTCTCAAATCCGATCTAAATCTAATCTATTACATTTCCTAAACAAAGACCTTGTGCTCTCTTGCTGCGGGCAAATCTGTAGAAAAGGTAATGGATGTGGACGTTTGAGGTTGAGATAGGAAGTTGGTTGAGTGTGCATGGTGCAATGCAACCAGGACCAAAAAACATCATGTTGTGGGTCTAAAAACGTAGACATTTGAGAGTTTGGCTGGAAAATTAACTATCAATGGCTGGACGGATTGTCAAATAAGTCCAACCAGATCTATCGTCACAGTCCTGCTGCTTCTTGTCCTGCATGAAGTTCCATACTTTCGAGCAGTATAGAATATACATTAAATTTTGGGTGCAACCAAAATGTGGACATTTCATTTACTTTTTTTGAATTTTTTCAACGGTTAATAATGTCCGAGCTAGTATATATATACCTCAATTAATTCTCTTATCAGTTCAGTCAAAAGCAAGCTATCCATCTTAAAATTAAGGTCATTTGATCTTACAGTTCGTCTTTGTCTTTTATAAATTTTTTTTTTTGGCCATCGATTTTGGCATCTTGTTTTTGACATCGTTTGATAACATTTTTAAATTAGTATTTGATTTGCATTTTACCGTTCTAATTTTCTTTTTTTGATTTTAATTGCACGTGTAGCAGCATGCATATGCATATATAGTCATGTTAATACGAAGGATATCGGGTTGGGTCGGGCCAACGAGTATTGTGAAGAAGTCGGCCGTAATTTGTCTATTAATAAATGTTTTTTAAAATAATATTATTTAAATCAATTTAAGAGATTAACCTTGGATCTCATTAGAATTCATAAACCCCATTATTAAAATTAACCTTTAATTATTTTCAAATTTTAGTGGTGGGTCCCTGATGACCTGACAAACGGATATAACCGTTAGGGGGCAATCTCGCAATTGAATGCCTACACAAAGGGCAAAACTCAACTTGCGCCGAAATCTCAGTGTCCTGTCTCGGCAGGTTTTCACCGCCCGAAACACTGTCCAGATGAAGTTGACAAACAAATTCCTTTCTTTATACATAACGACAATCCTATCCCCGTTCTCCAACCCTCTCAATTTTCAAATCCTCATACTCGCCATTTTTATCAAACTTCAGGGGCAAATTCGTCCTAAAAGTTCGTCAACGCCACCCTCTCATTTGGACCCCCATTGTTTCAAATCTTGGATCCTTCTTTACCCTCGCTGACTCCGCTATAAACCCTTCTCTCTCTCTCTCTGTGGCACACAAAGTCAGTCTCCATCTCTGTCTCAGTCTCTGAATATACATTTCTAAGTTCTTGTTGCATTTCATGCTAATGTGCGTCTTTGTACGCATTGCGAGAGTTTGGGTTTGAGCTCTCAGCTATTGAAGTTCCACAAGCCAAAACAGTGATTTTGGGGCTTGGAAGTGTTCAAAGTGTACGAAAGGGCACTGTGTAGAGTGAGGGAATGCGATAGAGATGGACGAAGAAATGGAGGATATGATTGAGTATACATACACAGCAGTTCAAATTGATCTCGATTACGAGTTCGATGCTGCTCGGCATTTCGATTTCAGCCGTGAAGAGTCGCTACCTGAAGCTCGTGGAGCTGAGCTCTGGTTCCAAGCCGCCCCAAGTTATCCACCTTCTCGTAAGTGTTTTCGAGAATGAACGTTAACGTTTCTTCACTCTTATACACGTAATTGGTTTCGAGTTGTGATTTTCATGATTTTTTGGACTCGGCATAGTCGTCTTCTATGAGCGAGATTGAGCTAATTTTAGCTTATTTTTTAAGCTTAACGACTCTTATGCTTCTCATTTGTATCTTATAGGCTTGATTTTTTTGTAGTTTGGTGTAAGTTGTGGTGCGTTTTTGTTTTTGTTTTTTTGAAAGAAATGATATACATTCGATTAATTAGGAAAATCCATGAGGAGGGACATTATGAAATCAGGCGCCACCTCCTCCCATACATCAGCACAGTCAACAAACTTTGCATTTCTATGTAACTGGTGTGCAACCCTATTACCAGTTCTTCTTATAGTAGACGTATCCAAAAATAAAAAATTTAGTTTATTTGTATGCTATTTATTCCATTGTTTGAAGTTTTTATTTTGGTGAATAATCTTATTAGATAGGAAGAATTCGGTTTATAAGAAAGAAGGGGAAATGTGGAAAAAAAAACCCCTTACTCAACATTGAGAGTACTAAATCACTCATCATCAGAAAAAAACACAAGCACTCCTTTTTAACAGACCAAATGATGACCAGCAGTGTGATCATCTCCAAAAAATCAAAACCAGCTTAAACTATTTGAGCAAAAATTGCTGAATCTTAATTCCCTGCTCAAGGAAACCATATCAGCATCCTTCAGAAGTGTTTACTTTGCTTTGGTGTTACCATTAACAGTACCACCAAGAGTTTCTGTTACTGCACTTTCATCAAGGTGTCAAACAGCTTCGAGAGAGGTTCCAGCTTAAAACAATGCCCCTATCAGTAGGAGAATCTTTAATTTTCAGAAATCATCCTCTAACAATATCACATATATTGGCTGATGCAATACGATTCCCGTTTACAGCATGACAGAAGATGCTTGCAGTCCTTTGATTCCATATGTATTGCCTTTGGTCTAGTGGTACTCCTTATCTTGTGAAGATTTTATCTTCTTGAAGTCAAAGGTTCAAGTCCTCCCTTCACCCTCCCCATTCCCCCAAAAAAAAATGTAATAGAGAGCTGCAGAAAAGCATAATCAAGAAATTACTTTCTACATAGATTCCCTCTACTCAGCTGCAGCTCTATCAACCAGAGATTGCCATGGTAACAGTGATATTGAAATTTATTGTATATTGTTCAACAATATCATCAAATTTTCTGAAGGCCCTGTTTTTTCTGCATGAAATATTTCCAGGAAAATTGGTTCAAGGAAAAAAAAATTCCATGTGTTTGGAGATTTCTTATCATAAAGTTTGAATATCAAAACAGATGATCGGTCTTTGACAAACTAATTATGTTATATGAAAAACAAATTTTCTTTTGTTAAAGACTGATTTTGGACTTTTATGCTGCATTTCGAACAAGAATGCAATCCTTTTTCGATGACATGTATATACATAAAAAAAATTTATACAAAAAGATAAACTAAGAGAGAGGTGGAAATAGGGAGATTCAAGATGGAATAGAGGAGCTTCATCGAGGTGAACAAATAGGATGGAGACTGTTGGCCCCTTGTAAAGGAAACTCTGTCTCCAACTTATCAGCATAAGCAAGTGGAGATTGCTTGTATAAGAAATAAGTAATTTAGTTCAACTACCTCGTGAAAATAAGTTGGAGTTGAAGAAGATGATGTCAAGTGAATTTACAAGATCGCATGCTCAAATGATCATTGCAAACGGGCCCTTAACCCTTGAGATTGCAAATTCATATTTCTGTTGCACATGGTTGTAAAGTTTGGGTATGTTCTCTGGTTATTGTTATAACCTCAAATTATAGAAGTGTCCACATACATGTGGTTCATGTCCTTATTTGTTAACTTATTTATTTATTCTTTTTTGATTTCAGCTTTCGTGACGAATTTAATACCAAGAGAGCATATCTTACTGGAAAATGTTAATACCTCTCCAAAAACTAAAGATGTGGATAATGCAACGTTACCTTGTATTGAATCTGATATTGAGCTGAACCCAGATGTTTCTGTTATGGATGTGAACAGCAGAGGTAACGTTTGCTTGCTTCTTGTTTTTGGTAATATTTGATTGCTGGAAGAAAATTATACCCTTATCTTGCATTGAGATTTACAAAATCAACCAATAATCCTCACTTTTTCTTAGTGTGCAAGGCACCTAAGTTAGATGTCTAAAGGTGTGAAGCATATGCATGATGGAAGCCTCACGCCATAAGACATGGGTTCAAAATGGCTTGACCTTCAATGTTGTGCTTTAAGGTTTCATTCTGTGATTGCTGTACACGTATCGCGTTTGGCACACCAGGGAATAAGTAATAGAGCTATTATAAGAGTCTTTTGCACTGTTCCTGTAAGACACTAAGTGTTATCATTTCAGATACATTACCCAGATACGTATTAACACTAGTATATTGACTGCACTATATCATATCATTCTACCGACCATTGGTGTGTTGTATGTCATGTTGTCTTTTTGCTGGCTATTATATTTTAACCGTAATGTTCTCTTTTGAATTAATTTCTGCTTTTCTTCTGACTGTTTTAAAATTACAGTTTACTACACCACATTCCTTCAACTGTTCAATGTTGCAGCTTACCAAACCAAACTAAGTCTTATGTCCCAATCATTTGGGGTCGGCTATATGACTCCGTCTTCGCCATTCATTTTGGTCATGCGCTATACACTCATTTCTAACAATAGCGCATATATCAATGTTGCAGCTTACTACACTCTATTCATTGGTGTCAAGTGTTTATGTTTCTGTGCTCCGTATTTTACTAATTATTGAAGGACAATAACTTTCACATATTCTTGTTTCCCTGTGCAATTGTTTAATCATTTTTTTTAATTCTCTTCAGTTTTCCTCTAACAATTTATTGTTGTTTGCTATCCTAAATCTTTCTAGGGTTGACATTTTATAATCATGTGATGAAAGATAAAGTCAAACCTACTACCACGTTATTTGTGAAGCAATCGTTTCCAAGGACCTCAACTTTGATGAAGCCTACGGCAAGTCAATTGGCCAAGCAAAATCGAACTCGTCAAGTAGGTAACTCCAGGTGAGTATTGAAAAAAATTGTTTTCCTCAGTGACAAATAATATTTGTNTGAAGCCTACGGCAAGTCAATTGGCCAAGCAAAATCGAACTCGTCAAGTAGGTAACTACAGGTGAGTATTGAAAAAAATTGTTTTCCTCAGTGACAAATAATATTTGTAGTATCAGAATAACAAAAAATCAGGTTCTTATTTATGTAAATTGCAGGGTTTTTGAATGCTGATGTGGTCCTCACTATTAAATATATTCCTGATCTAGCATTAGCTCTTCTCAGACTGTATTGTGTTTTATCCTTTTTTGGTAGTTACAAAACATTGATGTTTGAATACTGCCAACTTTGGTGTATCATGGCTTTTACAGTGATTAGACAACATTTTCTAAGAGCCAAGGTTTTCTGCATTGACTAGTGAACTGGACATTTGTTCTCTTTTATTGGAAGGGTTATCTAGTTTGTCAATTTTGTTATGACTCTCAATCACTGGCATCTCTCTGTGCTATCCTTATTTTCTAATTATTTCATTGCCTGTGAGTGCTAGGTTTCAGAAGGTGGTTGAGAACAATAAGAAAAGCTCAGACAATCCTTGCGGGAATGAGACTCAAGCTGCTAAGAGACAAAAGCTTGAAGGAGGTCATTTCTGTAAGGTGAAATTTTTGAGTTGATGTATACTATTCATTCGGATTGCTCATTTTAAAAATCCTGTAATGTAGTATATATTGGTAATTGGATTCTTTAATTATCTTTCTACCTTAAAAGCACACTCCTAGTGATGCTAGGTTATGGTGTGCAATATCGATTCAGTAATTGCCATTTCTGCATTGAAAACTTAGTGCTAAGTGTCCATATATTTGCATTTGTACTTTCTAGGATCTTTAATTCTCAGTTTGTTCTGAGTAAGTATGCCAGACATTTTCTGTTAAACTTAGTCGTACATCTGTTCTCCGACTTAATTAGACCATGAGGAATTTTTCTTGTTGAAACCTAATTTATATCTGCAGAGCTATCACATGCAACTAGCTTTTTTTCGAAGCATTTTTGTGGAATCTGGTCTAATTTTGGACTATGTAGAGGCGTGCACGTTTAACCCAATATTATCCAATTGATATTTTCTGCTCGTTTTAGATAAATATTTCTAACTATGCCAGTTTGAAATGGTGGTGCAAAGTTGGTATCACTAATGATATACATATCTCCATTGAACTACTTTTGCATAAGCTTTGGTTAGAATGCTATGAATGTTCCATCTTTTTATCCAAATAAGCTTTATTCTGCGCAACAGGTTGCTGATACAAAGCATCAAATTAATTTGGTACACAAGGCACCTAAAAGGGTATGTGTCCTGCTGCTGCAAACATGTATTGCCTTTCGATTTATATTTCATTCTTCTCCTATGCTTGTGACATAATACCCACAGTTTTTTTTTANATTTGGTACACAAGGCACCTAAAAGGGTATGTGTCCTGCTGCTGCAAACATGTATTGGCTTTCGATTTATATTTCATTCTTCTCCTATGCTTGTGACATAATACCCACAGTTTTTTTTTTACTTTCTTTACATGTTGTATCCCATCTTCTTTTAGATTCTTATTGCTAAAATGTCTTAGACATGCTTGACAAATGGTTCCAGAAGGCTGTGACATTTGAATAGATCAACCTGATATAACAGGCTTTCCTCTTCAAAAATAGGAAGAGGATGGTTGAATGTATTTCATAAAGCATTTGTATGTATGGTTCCACATATACATTTCTGTAATAGGCTCGTTCATCTCGCAATATTTTCAATGTTACTCTCGGTAATGTCTGGTAAAGTTGAGAGAGTAACATTGAGTGAGGATTAGAGAAAAGAGGGGGTTTTGGTGGTGTGTTTTGCCACCCGCGCTGGGGTGTGTGTGTGTGTGTTTGTGCTAACAACATTAAAATGTTAGGCGACTTGTGGTAATCTGGCAGGCTTTTGAAACTTCTTTTTGGGATGATGATGCAGGATGGACACATTGAGGAAAAATCATTGCAACCTAAGTTAAGACTTACTATTCCTAGAGAGCCTGACCTTGAAACAGCTCTTAGGGCTCAGAGGATGAGGTCAATTTATTCATCTCTATTGCTATTCCAATCTTGTATTGGTCTAAAAAACTTGGTTCAATCTAGTATGCTATATAAGCCCTTTGCTGTTTGTTTTCAGGCCCAAAATTAGTGGAGAAGCTGAGCATGTAATGTCAGCTGTTCCGAAATTCAAAGCTCTTCCATTGAACAAAAAAGTTCGTATTAACATTTAATAAACACCTGCAACTTCATACAAATGTTCGCTTATGTTACTTATATTTCACTCGGATGTTTTGCAGATTCTCGCGGCTCCTTCATTTTTAATTCCTAAAAGAATCACTCCGCGATTGCCTGAGTTTCAAGTAATTGATTTATGTCTTGCCTCTTGCTTGTCCCTCTACTAATTTCTCTATTTTTGCAGTTAAGCTTTCATGGCCAACAAGGTCTTCTGAAATAATGTTCTTTGCTTATGTTTTGTGGATGAGATTCACGTTTTGCACATTGCTATTCAGGAATTCCACCTGAAAACATCAGAGAGGGCTACACAACATTCTTCTGCAGTTTCGTCAACTTCGGACAGTCACAAGCATATGGATAAGGTTACTCTTTGAATCCAATGGATGTAGGATGATTATATTCTATATAATTTGTTGTCATTTCACGCTGATTTTTGCTTAAGATGGTCGAAGCCCAGGCCAGAGTGCAAGAGATAGGAGAGTAGAAGAATATGAAGCATAAAAAGTACAATTGTATCTGCAGCAGTGAATGGATTATAAAGATTTTGCATTTACATCTATTTATGAGAGTCAACATGTTATTGCTCAGAAAATGAACATATTTTGTTGCAGGCATTGCATAAACCAAGTGCTAATTCAATTGCCGAATGTGGAAATAAAGAATCCAGGAGGTAAGATTACGCGGATCTTTCTTACAATTTTAAAATTAATCATGTAAAATGTATTTAGTCAATTTGCTTCTGATATTTTTTTATCAGTCTTCATAGCTTTTATATATTTGATTTGTGACTTCTAATGTAAAAGGACATTAATTAGTGCCAGGGGCAACTGACGATTTAAGTCGAAATAATAGTGCCCTAATTGAAACATGTATATTCAATATTCATGGTTAGAGCAAATTTGATGGATGCTCCAAAGCAGGAGGGGTGTGAAAAAAATCACTACTTTAAAGCTCGGCCACTTAACAGAAAGGTATCATTGGAAATGTATGTTGTGTCTGATAATATTATTAGACGTATCTATTCTGGTTCTTAAAGTTTGATCTATGTTGTGTATAAATGCAGATCTTTTCAAGTAAAGGAGATATTGGAGTTTTCAGAAATCTCAAGCGGGAAACAACGGTGCCAATGGTAGTCCACCGACGCTTATGGCTATCTTCTAGCTTTATATTTTAAAATGGGTAGTTTAAGTAATGATGTTTTATGGTACTATGCTTTAACTTCCCTGCAGGAGTTTAATTTCCAGACAGAGAAGAGGGTTCAACATGATCCAACAGTAGAACTGTTTAACAAGGTAAACATGGAAGCATTTATGTTGAGTTCCAGTCTGACAAAATTCTCATTTTATCATTGATTTACAAATGATAAACAATTGCTATATGATGCACCTCTACTGTTTATCGTTTCTTGAAAATTACTTCACTAGTACTAGTACTACTATGGAAACTGTTGTTATCGTGGTATTCCAAATATAGTAAAATTATTTATTGAAATTTTTGATTTGAAACATGAAATTTAAAACAAAATAGTAACAGTCAAGAACAAAAGAGTTATATTAATGCGTAAGAAACAATAACATATAAATCTGTGATTAAACAATATACAAACTGACCTCCCTACAGATTAGGAACTGAGATTGAACTTTCTGCAAATCAAGACTAGTTTTTGACACTATGTCTTTAAGACATATTTTGCCCCCACACATAGTGTTTATAGAAATCAAAGCGTATGACTCCCAAGATACAATGGTTTTTACGCGAATAGAAGTTGCACTCCAATCTACTCACCCAACGAACCAAAAATTATATTGTGTACTCTCCAAATGCTGACTGTCTTAATGTTGAAAATAAAATGTTCTATAACTGTCTTAATGTCAAAAATAAAATGTTCTAATGACTACCTTAATCCCGAAAATGAATTGATGTAGAATGGTAATGAGTCCGGGTTTATATAGACAAATTGGTGACTGTTTCGGACAGTCACCATGCGAAAAGATGTAACCCAGAAGACACATGCAACCAAAAAAGGCCAATGTGTAGCTGTTCTCTATGCATAGACACTACTCAGAATATCGGATGGGAAGGAAGACAAATTTCAAATCCNGTAACCCAGAAGACACATGCAACCAAAAAAGGCCAATGTGTAGCTGTTCTCTATGCACAGACACTACGCAGAATATCGGATGGGAAGGAAGACAAATTTCAAATCAGTACAAATTCAAATCCAACAGGTACCGAAATTAAATTCCGGTTCAAAAATTTACTCTCAATTCTTTAAACGAATTTTCTCCAAAAGATAAGGCTTTTTCTAAACCACATTGGGCCGAGTCGTGGTCGAGGCAATGCGGGCTACGTGCGTGTGTGTGGTCGAACAGAAGGCATGTAGGCGCTCGCTTCACTCATAAAATTGTGATATCTATTGGGGCCCAATCCCATAGACCAAACTTGACCTATATATGCACATGTAAAATTTTTTCCTCAACCAATGTGGGAATGGTGTCAAATCCCACATTGCACAGCCTCTATTTTCACATTTCAAGAGGGTCACTTTAAAATCTATTTTTTTATTCATTTTTTATTTGATTTGAGCAAGCGAATACACTACGTTATTCTTCTCACTGAGTAGAACGCGAACCCACGAAAGTTTACTCGAAACAATGAGTGANTCCTCAACCAATGTGGGAATGGTGTCAAATCCCACATTGCACAGCCTCTATTTTCACATTTCAAGAGGGTCACTTTAAAATCTATTTTTTTCATTCATTTTTTATTGATTTGAGCAAGCGAATACACTACGTTATTCTTCTCACTAAGTAGAACGCGAACTCACGAAAGTTTACTCGAAACAATGAGTGGGTCCCACTTTAATTTAGGCTCAAAGTCGACCAAAAATCAGATTTTAATTACTAAAATCTGCTTTAGTCCAACAACTATAACTGCTACCAAGTTATAATTTCTTCATAATTATCAGGAGAACCTATTTTTTGATGACTCAGCGTTCTCTCTTTGTTGAATGCTAGCTCTCTCTGAAATCTGAACTCCAACCGAATGCTGGATGTCAGTTGAAATTCTCTCGCCCAACATGTATACCTGCAAAGGTTCTACTCATTCCCTGTTATTCTCAATGATTCCTCTACCTAATTCAGTTTTGGGATATCCTGTTAACTTATATGTTGCTTCGTACAAGGGTTCAAAAGAGAATAGATTGGGTTCCTTCAATCAAGGACGTCAGGTAAGCATGGTGCTTTTCATGAAGTATTACTATTGCAGTCTTTACTGATCAATTTTCTGCTCTTCTAAGTAGGCATCTAGATATGTGCTTTTGGTGTGTGATCAAGTGAAATCTCACCATTCACAAGTTCTTTTTGTAGGTGAAACATTTAGAGAAAGAAACACCATCCAGGTTTGGGGTGAAGAAGATTCCACAAGGGAATAATGGGGAGATCACTGCTTCTGGTCCTCCATGTGGCATGAGCAGGTTCGTGAAATGAATTTGACGATTATATGCTTTGAATATTTTGGTTGACATTCTGAAGTCTGTAAGCTTGACCTTACAATTGCAACAGGGGCTTGGGCATTCGCTGAGCATAAAGGAGGGGAATATTTCAAACTGTTGCTCACAATGGTCGCCATCAGCTTCAACTTTTTGCAGTTTGATGAAGATTGCGAAATCCTTCTCAACGTGGATAAGTACATATCTATTACTACAAAAGACATGCTTTGATCTGCATACGGAGTCCATCGACAGAAAATAATTCTTTCTGCTCTGGGATACTGATTTTCTCACAAAAGTTATGTTAAACTGTCGAATATGTTGGTACACATGTAAAAACTGTTGAATCATCAATAAAATGTTGAAGTTAAGTGTTGTATTTCTTCCCAAATTTATTTTCCCATCTCTGGTTAGGTTGTGTTCTACCTGTACGATGTTTGTTCTTCAAAGCTATTGTGATTGGGTTGTGGAGTGCGTTGGATGCTTATTCACTATTGTATTCACATTCTAGAATAAGGCCTTGAGAAATTTCGAAGGCACACCGCCACTAGAGCTTTCTGAGTGCAATACCCATGTCATTTTTTCACAAGACTTATTCCTTACAAGTTACGACATGGGAAAAAAATGAAAAATTAAAACGAGTTAGTTCTTAACTAAAAGCACTACGTGCTGATTTCCAAGTACAAAGGAATGATAGCAATGCCAATTGGAAGTTTTATTGATCTTCAGTTGCTCTATTCGTTTTGACATAGTCAAAATAACTTGCATTATTGACAGCCCCAACCCAAATACTTATATTTTAACATCATCCATTGTATCCTTTAATTTGGCTGCTTGCATTGGCTTTGTAAAAGCTTATGGTCCCTTTGGTACGAAGGACGGAAAGAAGGAAGGAAAAGTGGAAAGAATAAAGTTTTTATCCTCGAAGGAAAGAAAGTTATTTTTCTTTTTTTTTTTGTTTGGTAGGAGGGATAAAAAGTAAGAGGGATATATTTTTTATTGTTTGGTATTGGATAAAAAATGAATGGAAAGGAAAAATATACATGCCCAATTTATAATTTTATCCTTAAATATGTTTTTTCACTCCAATAAATAAAGGGCAAGAAGATCAACTTAAAAAATTATTGTTTTACATATACCTGACAATTATAGACACGACTCGTGAAACCGACACAAATACAACACGGATTTAGCGGGTTTGAGTGTAGTCTTAACGGGTTCAGGTAGTTAACGAGTTAACTCAACAGACCCGTGAAATAAATGAATCGTTTTTGTGTTTAACTTATAAACTCGTTTCAATCCGTTTAACCTGTTAACAATGGTAATATATTTTTTTTAAAAAAAAGTTAGGTCTCTCAGCCTCTGNGATAGCAATGCCAATTGGAAGTTTTATTGATCTTCAGTTGCTCTATTCGTTTTGACATAGTCAAAATAACTTGCATTATTGACAGCCCCAACCCAAATACTTATATTTTAACATCATCCATTGTATCCTTTAATTTGGCTGCTTGCATTGGCTTTGTAAAAGCTTATGGTCCCTTTGGTACGAAGGATGGAAACAAGGAAGGAAAAGTGGAAAGAATAAAGTTTTTATCCTCGAAGGAAAGAAAGTTATTTTTCTTTTTTTTTTTGTTTGGTAGGAGGGATAAAAAGTAAGAGGGATATATTTTTTATTGTTTGGTATTGGATAAAAAATGAATGGAAAGGAAAAATATACATGCCCAATTTATAATTTTATCCTTAAATATGTTTTTTCACTCCAATAAATAAAGGGCAAGAAGATCAACTTAAAAAATTATTGTTTTACATATACCTGACAATTATAGACACGACTCGTGAAACCGACACAAATACAACACGGATTTAGCGGGTTTGAGTGTAGACTTAACGGGTTCAGGTAGTTAACGAGTTAACTCAACAGACCCGTGAAATAAATGAATCGTTTTTGTGTTTAACCTATAAACTCGTTTCAATCCGTTTAACTTGTTAACAATGGTAATATAATTTTTTTTTTAAAAAGTTAGGTCTCTCAGTTTCTGCCTCATCTCACACCTTCCATCTCTTAGACTCATTTAATGTTTATTTTTATTTTTTTGCTCAGCCATAATTTATTGTTATAGTAAATAAGTCAAATATGTGTAATGTGTAGCAATTTGATGATTTTTCGTGTGTACTCAAAATATTTTAACATATTCTCTTATTTAGCGGGTGACACACGGGTTGTATCGAGTAACCCGCCTAATAAATTATTAGTGTATGAGTGTGATAGTTGAATTCGTTTATATAAACGAATGAGATATGACTGAAGAATTTTTTGACATAAATCCGTTTCACCTGACACAAAACCGTTCCACTCGACATAATTGCCGGCCTATCTTACCTTCATTTTTTTCCTCCATTTTCTGCCCAAATTTGGGCTGCAAATATTTGGTGGGCTGGAAGGATAAAAATCCCCTCCCACTTTTCCACTCCCTCATACTTTTCTTTGGTACCAAACAATGAAAACCTTTTCCTTCCCTTCCATTTTCCCTCTCCCTCACTTTCCTTCCACCCATTTTTCCACCATACCAAACACACTATTAGTATTCAAATGTGGCCTAACGTTCTCATGGTGCTGCCATTAGCCGGTTGATTAACTGATGCTAAACCTCTATAAATGGCACCAAGATTAACCCCTGATCCCAAGACATAAGCCATTTGAGGAAAATTATATCAGGCAAAGAAAGCTTTTCCTTCCTCTTAATTTCTCAATGGCCTCCATACGTATCGTGATTGCAGTTGCCATTGTTGCAGCAGTTGTTGCTCCAACTGCTGCAACAGATTTTGTGGTTGGAGACGACAAGGGTTGGACAAAAAATTTTGATTACCAAGCTTGGGCTCAGGGGAAAGAGTTCCAAGTTGGGGATTAAAAATTCTAGTTGAATTTGGGTTGAACCAAAATTCGACAGTTCGGGTTGAGTGCCGAAAACAGAGATCCCAATTCAAGTACTGTTACAATTTAGATTGAGATGAGACTTTTTGGCCTAATTCCAGCACACCTATTGAAAATCCCTGTCCAAGACTGAGATTTTTGGGTTAGGTTCATGTTTTCTCACCAAGTTAATTACTTGTTGCTATAGGGATACATATCTTCTTATTTAGCTTTACCTTTGTCTGCTATTCATGTCAAAACTAACAAAACACACACTCATATATTGGCATAGTGTATATTTGAAAAACTGCTCAATCTTTTAGCCTCTAATCAAATTGTTTTGGTGCAGTTTTCAAATATCCTCACGGAGTTCACAATGTTTTCAAATATATAAGTTGACTTTTATTTATAATGTGAGAATTAAACATAAAATTATTCAATCATAATTAATGGGTGATGGTGAGGGCCTTCTATCATATTATTTTAGCTTAATTATTATGTTATATTATTATTTTATTTTTTATTATACGACCGTTTCGACTCGTTGACCTAATGATTGAACCAGTGATCCATTGATCAAATATCTCTATTGGGTTAATATTCGGTCCAATTCTGATAACTATAGTTAAAACTATGAAATCGTATTCATGTAATCAGTGTACCTTAATTAACCCACCTTAGCAACTGCCATAAGTGGGAAACAGTGGGAATAATCTCTCCAAAATAATTCAGACAAAAAGAAAAATTGACAAAATGCTTCATCTAGTCAGATACAAAAACAGCGTCTAAAAAACCGACCCGACCCGGAGGTTGACTCGGTGGACCAGAGCCTAAATGGATGAACCGGTGAAAAATAGTTGAACCGTTCTACCCGCACCAATTTAAACAAATCGGCCGGTTCAATAAATTTAGTATAAAAGCATAAGTTTTGGTCCCTTTGAGCCATTTTGCCCTAAAATCGATTTCTCACCACAGAGCCTTCGGTCCTTCCACCCGGCCCAGGCACCCCTCTGCGCCTCTCTGCCTTGTAGCGACGCCGACGGTCGACGACCCTCCAGCCAGTCAGCCTGAGTGTGCCCTCTCTCTCAGTCTCAGTCTCTCTCTGCGGCTGCGCTATTCTCTCTCTCTCCTTCGATGCAGGTACTACATACACACTCTCTCTCTCTCTCTACTGTCGAGTCTCCCTATGTCTCTGCTATTGTGATATCTTATTTTATGCATGAAAAGTATCCAGAAAGCTTGGTGGGGTTTCTTCATTCCCTTTCTGGAACTGTGTCTGTTGAAGACCATTCAAACCAAACTAATAGAAACTGCGTACAATTCTCTTTGGCCCCTTTGGCCCCTTTGGGTTTTTTCTTATATAGATGATTTTTGTGTGATCTTTTTTCTTCTATGAAAGATGATGTAATTGGGTTTGTAGTTCATGTGAGAGCAAGGAGAGGCCAAGCTACTGATAGCCACAGACTGACTGAAAGGGTTTGTTCTATATAACTTTAGCGTTTGATTATTTGGAAAATTCAATGTAATTTCTTAGGTTGAACTTGAACTATTTCATGTTCATAGAGGCAATTTTGATGTTATTAGAACTACAGCAAATCAATATGTCAACTAAAAAAACTGATAACTTAACTTTATATGTTTGATGCTATTTTATAATTATTATGATTTTTTAGCCTATTTATTATTATTGGTAATTATTTTTTATTTTTTATTGTTTATCGATCTGACCAATGTCCCAATAGTTGAACTAATAACCCATTGATCTGGTCATTTTTTCGGGTTGATGTCCGGGCTGAGTTTTAAAACTATTGCAGGTGATGAGTCTTCACACCAGTAGCCTAGTAAATCTTCAGGCATCTAGAATCCTAGATAAACCATTGAACTAGTAAACCTCTCAAATTTTTTTTTTTTGGGATAAGAAATGGAATTCTATCAATAAATAATATAAAGTATTAATTATCAGAGCAAAGGTAGACACATCACCCAACACTATAACAATCAAAAAACAAACAGTGCATAGCACTACATAACCCTCATAATCTCATTATTTTCCACAAGATGTTTTCCAACTTGTTGTATTACAAAAGCGAGTAACATTATCAAACATCAAACTAGTAAACCTCTCAGGATTGAAAAATCGACACCAAAATGTCCCACTGAAATAATGATAATGGTCTACCCTATCGTATCTATCCATATTCATGTACAACAAAGGGACCTCCAAGAGTGATGACTCCACACAAACATCTCCCATTTCTATACACCTACACATCACATCTCAGATCTTTAAAGTTCAATAGATAAACAAAGAACTTAAAGTTATAGTGGGGTTGAAGCCACCTCATAACTCTGAATTAAACACTGTCTATGACAACATCATGAAGTGATCACATCCTCTGCATTAAAGTTATGGCGGATTTCAAAATCAAAGACTCCATCACACAAAAAT